ATGAAAAAGGAAAAAAAACAGTATGTATATTTATAAAGAGGCAAGAGCGCGGGAAAAAAAAAAGAGGGAGGGTAGGGAAAAGACAACTCGCGGAATTACGTAAACACGAGGACGCCGGCGCATCGGGTTGCAGCTTCAGTTGCGGCGGTGTAAGCCCCGTGGCCCGCAGGATCAGACAGAGGCACACAGCCCGGGGCCATGTAATTCATTACTAAAGCAATCTCGCCACGGCGCAGCCCCCCCCCCCCCTTCCACGTTTTTTTTCTACCTCTTTTAGCGAGGTCCACCCACTCTCCCTTATAATATAAAGAGGGAGGAAAAAAAAGCGAGAGGCGCCCGGTGCGGGGGCGAGGATGAGTGGGAAAAAAAAAAGAAAAAAAAGAAAAAGCGTTTCGAATAGAATAGAAAAGAGGGTGCCGGAGCACCGAGCTAACGGGGGGTTGGGGGACAACAAAACAGAATGAAACACAAAGCGCCGTTTTCATAATTAAAAAGATTGCGTATATTCTGCTGAACCTACCCCTACCCCCCCCCCCCGCCTCGCTGATTCTTCAATTTCCTCCGCCCATTGTTCGACCGTGCCCCCCTACTTCTATATACGTATATATATATGTATCCGTGGACCGCGACGATGGCTGCCTGCCGCGGGAGTTGCTTGTTTTTCTCTACTTTTGTTTTTCCGCGGGATCGCCGGAAAAAGTGTGGTTCCTTGGGCTCTCGCTTTTTTCTTTAATTTTTTTTTTTTTTTTTAATATTTAATCGGGTGCTGGACACGAGTATATGCAGTCACCACCTGAGAGACTTTGTCCAGCTTGGGGGTAGTTCGCGATTCGGGGGTGAATCGCTAGTGGGGCGTGTGTATATTTAGTGCTCGGGTTCTCGTAAGGTGGCATTTTTTTTTTTTTTTTTTTTTTTCCTTGGTGTGTTATACAAGTATACATATATACCAGTCTATTGGAAAAAGGTGGAGTAGTGCGAGATACGTGACGTGGAAAATAAATGAAAGTCATCGAGATATCGCGAATGTAGCAATATTAAGTTGATAGAACTGTTTTGCTCAACTGTAGTATGTATAGGTCCATCAATATTTTTGACGATAAATATACAACGGCTGTTTGTAAAAAAAAAAAAGAAGAAAAAAATTAAATCGTAAAATACATGTAAATTTAACGATATCCAATTACTATTATTATTGTTGTCGTGATTTTATAAACCGTGTCTCCATTGTTCAAAGAAGTAAATAATTGTGAAATTTTTACCGAAACGAGTCGTTGACGTCAGTGATTGTCAATACCGATCTTTGAGTGTGGGTGTATATTATGCGATTGGAATCAAAAATTATCCTCAACCGATTCAGTAACAGTATAGGTGTTTAAAGAAAAAAAAAATTGGCAAATCATCACGCTACAAAGGGCACAAGTTCCAATTATCACTTATTATCAATATTTGCAGTATCGTCCTTCTTCGATAATTTTTCATCCAATCCACCCCACTGAAAGCACTGCATATAACAAGCGCAGCAGCAGTCGTGCACAAGCGAATGGAAGAAAGAGTAGGAACGGGAGGGAAAAAAAACACCACATTGGACCAAAAAAAAAAAAAAAAAAATTCAATCGAAACGTGAAATCGCGAAGGTGACGACGCGAACCCGAGCCGGCCGAAAATTCACGCAACGCGGGTACGAAAAAAAACCTATCCACACATCGCACCGAGGGGGGAGGAAAAAACTCCGAAAAGGAAATAAAGCAGAGCCAAATTAGAGTAAATCAATTCGAGCGGTCAGCAGACGCCCTCAAACATTACACATGAATCGTGACGCGTAGAAAAAAAAAAAAAAAAAAAAAAAAAAAAATTAGATAGATACACACACACGCAAAACGGAGATGCGCTCTCTGTACGTATAAATATACGTATAGATAACCCAACGGCGCGTCGAGAAGAGGGGTAGCATTGAATTCCCGCCCCCTCGGGCTTGGGAGTGGACCAATAGCGAGGCTGGGCGAGCCACCCCCTTGCGCGAGTCCACCCCGTCCGTAGCGCGCGCACACGCGCTTTTTATTCCAAAAGCCCACGGGTTTCGGCCAACAGCCATGCCGAGCGGCCCTTCAGTTCGGCCTTGCCGCGCGGGCTCCGAGTGACTCGACGCACGAGCATATACGTCGGTATATACATATATATATATACTCAACTCGATCGGTTAGCGCGAGTACAATGGCTGGGCCCTACCTGTCGCCGCTGGGACCCCAAGCTGACCTCCTCACCGAGTACATGTTCGGACGTCGCCGTCAGGTCAGTGTACGTTTCTTTTCTCTCTTTGATCCGATTTCGGGCCATTTCTCCACCTTAAATATACTTATACACAAAGAAGAATATGTAAAGGGGTAAGTGTGAATCTCTATACTTGCTCTTCCCTTTTCGCAGAGACGGAACCGCACGACATTCACGCCCCAGCAGCTCCAGGAGCTCGAGTCGCTCTTTCAGAAGACCCACTACCCGGACGTCTTTCTCCGGGAGGAGGTCGCCCTGAGGATCTCCCTGTCGGAGGCCCGAGTTCAGGTACGTGGGTCGCTGTAGCTCCACTCTCCCTTGGTAGGATAATCCCTTGGTGACACGGGTTGGGGTGATTTTGGGTGCAGGTCTGGTTTCAAAATCGTCGGGCCAAGTGGCGCAAGCAGGCCCGGCTCCAGTTGCTCCAGGACGCGTGGCGTATGCGCTGTTTGGGCCTGGGTAGCGCGGCGCCTCTCCTCCTCCGGCCGCCCGCACCTCAGGATCGCGGGGACGCTGCCTCGCCGCCTCAGCATCACCCTCCGGCCCAGATCGGTAGTGTGGCTCAACAGCAGAACTCGACGACCACGACGCTCGTCACCACGACCACGTCCACGACGACGACCACGAGTGTGCCAACTGCCACGGACAAGGTCCCCGACGTCGGTGCGCCGCCCGTACAGTGCAGGGACTACAGGATCGGTCTGCCGCCGCTACCGCCGCCTCACGGGTTTGTCCCTTTTACATCCCCCTCCTACGACCTTCGGTACATTGGGCACGTTGTCTATACCTACCGATCCCCAGCCTTTTGCTCCTCAGTTTTACCGATCATGTAGTACAGCATTTTTTTTTTTTTTTTTCTTTCTTTTTCAAGTACGGGGTGAATGTTACTGGAAACAAAAACTTACTATCAAGTGTTGCGTTACACTAAATGAAAAAAAAAAAAAACAAAAACAAAAACAAAACAGTACAATACGCTGGATGATTGATCTCAATCATCTTCCCAGTGAACGCATTTTCTCAAGATTTCTTGTAGACTTGCAATGCCCATCTGAAAGAAGGAAGTTTTAGAAGTAAAAACTGAAAGACATAAGAACTCTACAAGAGACCTTGAGAATGTGTGTGCCAATTGGGTTGAAAAAAAAAAAAGAAGCTCGTGACAGGTGGCTTGTATTGACGGGTGTACAAAAATCATGATAAGCATAATGTTTTGCTCTAAAACGCAGTTACGGTGCCGTGTCTTTGGTGGAGACGACCAACCGATCCCCGGAGCGTTCGTTGGGTTGCGGCTGCGGTGGTTCGCCGTCGCGTGGTTCGGCGAGTCCTTCGGCCGTGTCGTCCTCGTCGGAGAGCGAGAGTTCCCGGTCGCCGGTCCACCACCGGCCGCCCCAGGAGGCGGAGATCGACTTGACCGTTAACAAGACCGGTGGGCCCCTGTCGCTACTTCGGCTTGTACCACCGCCCCCGCCGCCGCACCAACTCTTCCACCATCACCTACAGCAGCAACAGCTCCACCACCACCACCATCATCATCCTCATCACCACCATCTTCTGCAGCACCAGTTGCCGGCCGATCTCAGTCCGTCGCCGGGCGCCCTGCACTCGCCCGACGAGCCGCTCGACGTCACGCTCAACGGGCCCAACAAGTAATGGCTCGGGGACCTTTTTTTTTTTTTTTTTTTTCCACCGATGCCCACTGTCTTATTCGATGGGACAGTACATCGAGTGAGAAATAAGTTTTGTCTCTAGTCGAGTTTTATTTATTTTTTTTTTTTTGACTCTATTGTGAATATACCCTCATCTACACTCCACGCGCAGTGTACATATAATATATAATTGTACCGAGGAACGAGACGGCGATGCGGAAGTTGGACATTAACTATACTCGCAGTACATAATATACCGTCGTACGCGCGCGCGTCTTTGTGTGTACAAATTGAACATTACAAATACTTTTACTCCTATATTGTCTGGGCAGAGTGTGAAAAAGCAATAAGTATAAGAAAGTACATGATGTCATGTATGATATACAACACAATGGTATACGCGTGCGTTTGCGCATATGTGTGGATACGGAAGATCTCAAGGTCGCGTATATATAAATTTACAATACTTAATGAAAAACAATTATTTTCTAGTCTCTAGCGGTGAGTATGTGCAGTTTGCAGCGAGTGTAAATAAAACGCATGCGATTGATGTAAGAGGCTATATACATGTATATGTATATTGTACCCGGAAAAAATTTGCTGATGATGTGCGCGCGCGAGTGTTGTGTGTATTAGCGATGCGTTCGATGATTTTTTTACCTGTTGAATAACGAACGAGAGCCGTTTACGTTATATATAAAATAAATTTAAAAATGCATGGATGCGTATGGAATATATATAGTACCATATATATACATACAATATGTTAGGGAAGCTCGGATATTTCAGGGTGCAACAGGTTGTAATAAGTTGTATAGTTGTTAGGTATATGTAATTGTTAAGAAGTAAAAGAAAAAAAAAATCAAACAATGTGGAAAGAGCGATAAAGATATATATATATGCGCCTATGTATGGATATACGAGTAAACAAAATAGGCGTTGAAATAAAATTTTACTGGTATATAACACGTCTTTTTTTTTTTTTTTTGCTCACTCTTGTATTCTTGTATTTTAAAAAAAACATTTTTTTTTTTTCATACTCGCGAAATGTTTTTTCCCCGTTGTATTATACTCAAGTATCACTACAAGTGAGAATCAGCCAGTTTTTTTTTCCAGAAAAATGCTTTTGACGTTACAAATCACAGTGATTGTCATGTAAATGAGTAATAGGGGTACACCGAGAAAGTGGCGTACATCCGGGTAAACCCAACAGTAGATACATTCTCTCAATTGTTTTTTTTTTTTTTTTTTTTTTCTTCTTTCCAAATCACAGATTTACCATCTCGACAAGCGCACACAAAAGGAATACTATATAATACACGGGACAGAGACACGACAGTTACGAGGCGTCGGTACAAACACATAAAATAACACACCGCAAATCGCACGTAACGAGGCGGCAATTTGCGCGTGCCGATTCCCCTCCTCCTTTTATTTTTTCCTCTCGGTTTGCCTTACATTGATACAAATCGCTGTTTTATTACACGTGACTTTCTTTATTTCTATTTCGTTTAGTCTCAACCCGCAAAACTATATACGTAGAGAGACGCGTTGGTTTTTCCAGAACAACAAAGCGGTTATCGCAAAAACATTCAAAGTCTCGAGCTGCGTAAGGTTGGCCTCGCGATAGCCGTACTTATCGCGCACCAGCACGGATTTATTTATCTTTTCCGGACTACACTGATTTCCCTTACTTCAAAGCACTTTTTTTTTTTTTCATGTTTTTTTCGAACGAAGGAAAGAAAAAACTGCAAATTAACAAACAAAGGAGCAAAGCGAGCGGGAGAAAGAAGTTTCTCCGTCATCGTCGAGTCCAACGGCGGAGGTGCATCAGCCGCGACCTCAATTGGCTAAATACCCCTCCCACCGGTGCCTTTCTTTCCTTCCTTCGTCTCATCTCTGCACATGATGGGATATATATGTATTACCTACTTACCTATATAATATGTACATATATACTCGAGAGGCAAAGGCGATATTCTCTCGTTACTATATACTCGATGCCGGTGGATCGAGCGTATCATCATCATCATCGCGGTACACCCACTATAGCGAGCGGCAAAAATGCGTGTGTTTTTGTCTTTCATCTTCTCCCCGGGTAATTATATACCCACAAGGAAGGAATACCATGACGAGCATCACAATGGACGGTGTACAACTCACGAGTGGATATCACTGAGCGACCCAATTCTTTGAATCAAAGACAATTTCTTTACCCTCATTCCGTTAAATGTTTTCTTTTAATCGAAACAAATTTAGTCGATCCAAAAAAAAACAAATTTCGTACAACTAAATGAGAAATTCGTGATTAAAAAAAGGAAAATTTTTAATTTAATAAAATATTATTTTCAATCAACTTATATTTTTTTACTCATGAGAAAATATTTGACGGAATGAGGGTAAAGAAATTTTCTTTGATTCAAAGAATTGGGTCGCTCAGTGATACATTGTCAATTGGATGAAAGATGAGTCGATCACTTTGTTTTTTTTTTGTTTTTTTCCATTTTCTTCCTTTGATGATTGTGTGATCATTAGATATACAATGTTGCATTGAGAGTGCACCTGTAAAAGGTATAATAATTTCAAACCCGAGACACACAATAGGAAAATACATTTTCCATTTTTACAGTATATACGTGTGTAAGGACTCTCTTCGTGCGGGTGCGCGAGGTTTTTAACAAACTGATTAAAAAATTACGTTGCTCATAGTTTAAAAAAAAAAAAAAAAACATCATATTATGCACAAATAATTTGCAGTATTTTAAAATTTGGAAGTTTCGTGTTCTCTTTCTTGAAAAAAAAAAAAAAAAGTATGTTTAAACGTGCATCACGTATAGTCGCTTATGTACCCGAAGAAGACGACAACGAGCTGTACGTGTAAATATATATATATACAAGTATTGTCGAGCGTCGAGAGTGAGCGGCTCAGTTGGCGCGCGACGGGCGACCCGTGCATAATATGTTGCAGTATGTACAACGTTATTGCACGCACAAGTACACCCGCGCGCGCGATCGCACACCTCGTGATATGTATAGATTAACGTTCGCCACAATGATATAGTTTACGGGTTTGCTTATCAGGCCTCGATAACGTTATATCGGAGGACGCGACGCGCATAACGGTAATCCCAATTTGCTCGATTGCTGTTCTTTCAAGGTGAGTTGTTGTTGCAAGTCGAACAAAAACAAGCGATTCTTCACTGTCGATGAGTCGACCGACGCGATACTTACCCATCACACCCTCCTTCCCTCTTTTGCCTCGTGTATAAGTCATGTGCTGTGCGAAAAGAGTACATATACATATATATATACGTTGCAGCTTGTTAATAATTGTCCACAACCTATACAGTTGTTGGCGGAGGTGCTTGAAAATCAATATTACGACCACTCGGAGCTTTACAACTCAATTGTTTATTTGAAGAATAAACGTGCGTGCGCAAGTTTAAGTTTAGCCTCGTGCCCTTTGGGTAAAAGCGCCCGCGACATCTTAATAGGCTGTACACCGAGAGGGCAAAAATAGCAGCGGCGGACTCGATACTTTTGTTTCTCTCAGACTCCCTTGCGGTTGATCCTCTTTTGATAACGGAAATAGTAGACGATGACGCGCGCCAACGGCAATCCGACTTTTGTTTTTTTTTTTCACCAGTATCTTAGAAATGAGAAAAACTATAAACCCCTCAATACACGACTCCAAAGGGGAAATATACTAATTGAACGAGGTAGGAAAAAAAAAAAAAGGGGGTGGATGGAGTGTGTATTTTACTTTGTTTTCCAAAATTACTCTCGTAAACACAGGTGGCAGTGTCCATGTTGGGAGGGTAAATAACGAGGCCGGCAGCGACTGGCGAAGGAGAAAAGTCGTTCACGAATCTTTGGGCTTGTAACATTTTTCATGCACGCGCGCGATATACATAAACATCCGATCATCGTTGAGGGTAGAACATTCAATTTGGCCGTCTCGCTGAGCTTATACACGCAGATTGAATCAATTCGAGATCGAGCGTTTGACGTATCGAGTTAAAAAAAAAAAAATTTGCGGATTATAAGTTGATGCACGTTCAGTCGGCATCGTTGCGTTTATCGCGCAAACGCGTTATCTTCGTCCAAACCAAAGTCATATTATAATCAACAAAATACTCATCGCTGCTCGTACAAATAAAAGGCAAACAATTGAGATGCACAGTGTGCTCTCGATTTGATCCAGGGGAGCACCGAACTGAGTCGTTAATTGAAACGTTAAACCTGTTTCTCGTGATTCAGATTCGATCGCGAGAAAAGATGCGCTCTTCCGTAGTCTTGGTCGTCCTATCATTGCTGACAGGAAGTTACAGCGATGCTCGAAATGCTGCTCGGCAACAGCCGTAAGTCCATTATTTATTTTCTTTTTTTTCGTCAAATTAAAAAAATTGTTTTTGGTAGTTTTTTAAGGGTGTACGAGTGCAAGGCGGGCAACCGGTGCGAGCGAACGGATCAACCGATCGAGTCCGATCGCCTGATCGGTATAGGCCAGCACGGCAGCTTGCAAGCCTGCCGGCTCGTTTGCTCGAAGACTTCTGGCCTCTGGCCGATTCCAACTGGACTGATGACCATGGGCACTAACGTGAGTCTCTATAGCCCTGAATTTTCTATTTTTCAACGCTCGCGGAATTTTTGTGTCCCCAGTACGTTCCTGTCCATCCGAGGAACTTTATGTTTGTGTACATGAACGACGAGCTTGAGGAACCCGCGCGAGTCTTTGCGTCCGAGGCAGTCGAGGTGTTTTTGAAAAACGTCAAATCAACCTGCGGTGGCTTGGAATGCAGTCCAGTTGACAGGCAAATCGTGGTGTACTTGACAGTCAAGTCCTCCACTCTTGACCTCGACTGGGAGACAAACGAGAGCTACGATCTGAGAATCCCGGGTGAGTTTTCACTTTGAAGTTTAAAAGCAAAGGAAACAATTTCATACCTTGTTTTTTCTCCGTACGCAGAAACGTCCTATCAGATAAAAGTTTTCATCGAGTCGCAAACGGTCTACGGGTTGCGCCATGGCCTGGAAACCCTGTCCCAGCTCATAGTCCCATCGATAAAAACAGCAAACAGCACAGAACTCGTAATGATCAACTACGCTTGGGTAAAAGACAAGCCGGTGTTTCCTCATCGAGGTCTGCTGATCGACACCGGGAGGAACTTTTTGCCGGTTGACGACATTTTGCGCACGATCGACGGCCTCGCCGCCTCCAAGATGAACGTTCTCCACTGGCACGCCACCGACAGCCAAAGCTTTCCCCTCGAGATCAAGAGCTTGCCTCTCATGTCCCTGTGAGTAGAGCTTATATCTGTGAAATACAAAATAGCCTTTCGTTTCAATTAATTTTCTTGGAGAACATAGGTATGGAGCTTACGGGCCAGAGTTCATCTATACCGTGGATGACATGCAGAAAATCAGAAAGTACGCCAACTCAAGGGGGGTCAGAGTGATCCTGGAAATCGATTCACCGTCTCACGCATGTGCCGGCTGGGAGTGGGGTCCAGCTCAGAACAAGGGAAATCTCGTTGTCTGCGTCAATCAGCAGCCCTGGCGGCAGTACTGCATCCAACCTCCCTGTGGCCAACTCAATCCGATGAACAAGGATCTTTACGATGTGCTGAGGACTCTGTACAAAGAGCTGCTCGGGACCTTTGGAAGAAACGGCATGATGCACCTTGGTGGTGACGAGGTTTGTCGACACTTTTCGTACCTGCAAGCACAAGATTCGATTTTTATAACAAACAATATAATATATTACTAGCTATTTATAAACTGCTGGAATTCATCGGAGGAGATTGTCACGGGGATGTCAGAAATAGGATTGGGACGCAGCAACGAGGACTTTCTGAAGATCTGGTCGTACGTGCACAACAAGCAGCTTGAGATTCTCAACCAAGAGGGCTTGGACAAGAACATGGACAAAGCCATAATTTGGAGCTCGCAGCTCACCAGTCCAGAGCTTATAGAGACGTACCTGGACAAGAGCAAGTTCATTGTGCAGACTTGGGTGGAGGCGGACAAAGATCTCAACCAGAGGCTGCTGGATCTCGGCTACAAGCTCATCATTTCAACCAAGGACGCCTGGTATCTGGACCATGGCTTCTGGGGCATAACAAAGTACCATACCTGGCGCGACGCTTACAAAAACATCATTCCTCAAAAAGTAACGTATACACCGCTGTGCGCAATAACTTTTCGCTGCCAACGCTGTATTCACCTCTTTGATCGATGCTTATAGCCGGGTGTCCTGGGAGGCGAAGCGGCCATGTGGGGAGAATACGTTAACCAAGGTTCTCTGCACTCGCGCGTTTGGCCGAGGACGGCTGCTGTCGCCGAGAGGCTCTGGAGCGACCCACCGGCTTCGAAGATGGGTACCGCCGATGCCGAGCCGCGGCTGCAGGCGCACATCGACCGACTCGGCAGAAGAGCCGTGCACCCGGATGCCCTTGCTCCCGAGTGGTGCAACCAGCACGAAGGCCAATGCTCGTGACGACATTGTGATAAAGTTATATAAATAGCATCCGATGGAACTTTTGTACTGACCGTATTTTTCTCATGTGCAATAATCAACGAATTTTAAAATAGGATAATTTATATTTCTATAAATAAATTATAGATTTAAGTAAAAAAGATTATGGTTTATTACAAAAAATGTTCACTCATACACATATATATACACACACATTGCACACGAACATTCACAATACATGTCACAAAACTCTTTTCACAAATATACTTACAAACGCACATGTTTTTTTTTTTTTACTTATCAAAATAAGTTTAACGCAATCAACACATAACATAGAAATTATTGGTTGCTCAAAAAATCTTTAGTACTGGTACCCATTTGGGTACTGAGTGTACCCAGCTTGGTACCAATACCAATAGTACCACTGATTGTACCACTGATTGTAAAACTCAGCATAAGATTCTTGGGAAACTGGTTGAATGTTATTCTCTTGTGGTTGTACTTGAGGCGTACTAATGCTGAAAAAGGAATTTTTTAATATTAAAATTTCATTTTAATTCAATATATTTAAATTAATTTACACAATTACTTACTGTGTAGAATCCACTAAAGTAACTAATTGGCTACTTGATACTTCATCTTTTATTTCAATTTTGACTTGTGGTTCCTCTTCTTTGGTTAAATCTATGATTATTTTCTCTTGATTTTCTTCACACGTACAGGATGGCACCGCTGTTTCCGGCTCTTTTTCCGACTCTTTTGCTAGCTGACTGATTACATCTTTGTTAATTTTATCTTTATTTTCCAACAGCAGCTGAGTCAAAGCTCCTATGGAGATATCCTTGACTTTTTCCACACTGGCCGCGGATTCTTTAACTTCCATTGCATCATCTTTTGCTGGGTTTTCATTTTGAATCGTGACTTTAGGTTCTTGGTTTTCATTAATAGTATGAGCTGAAAAAACAGAATTGATTATTAAAAGTACAACTCAAAAGGGATGTTTGAAATTGTTTACCTAATTTTTGAGCTTCTTTGATCACTTCTTTTTTGGAATCGCTTTGCTGTCCACTGTCCTTGCTAGCCTTTGGCGGCAGAGAATCAAAGACCATCATTATTTATTAGACAAATTTCAAAAAATCGATTGATGCCAACTAATTACCTCCGTGTTAGTGTCGATCCACTTATTAATCAATAGCTTTACCCTCCTTCTCTCAGAAACTATATTCTTTAAGTTTAATTTGGTTATCACCTTATGGACCAGATCAATAGGTTGATAAAAAGGATTTTTGTGATACTTAGTCATAACTTTGTGCACCGCTTTTCGTAGTTTTGGTGGTGTCACAAGAGGCAGCACTGGTTTCTTTTCTTTTCTTTTGTTAGGCGCAACCATCTAAAGAAAATAAAAAAATCACTATTGAGTACGAGCATGACTGCATGATAAAATAAATGGCTACATTCCTAGACCAAATAGTATGATTAAAACGTTTAAAAAGTTGCTAAATTTTGAAAATCTATCTTTACAAAACTAAAAACTTTCTATCACAAGACCCCCAAACCGATACCAAATGATTTATAAGTGTAAATTATATTTATTTCTAGTTTTAAAAAATTAATGGCAACACAAGGTAGTCAAAATATATCTTTTCCTCTAACCCATAGCTTTAGAATCTTAAAAATTGTTATGAAAAACTAATCATTCATGGCAATAGACGAAATTCAACCTACTGAATTGTCTATTTTATGCCCTACACATTGTCTACAACAACAGTCTAACGTAAGTGTGAAAAAGCCGATTAACTAATTAGTCTGTTGCCAAATGTAGTCCATGTAAGTATTTATATTAAATAAGTACTTACTTTTGAACATAAAGGCCCAGGTCTACTGTGCCTGTATGTGGAGCTGCTGCTGCTGCTGGACATCGTCACAACACTCACAACAGACGAAGCGAAACTTCTTGACGTAGTGTGCGAGGAGTGTCCGAACCTTTGCTGTTTTCTCTCTCTCGTTTTCTTTTGTTTCAGGTGTATACCTTGTACAGCGGTGCATTGAGCGGTGTTGTCGCTTTTCATCAATAAGACAAACTCGCGAAAGAAAAACACACAACACTCGAGCGACTGGAGAAAACCTTGGCAACGCAATATCCTTCTTCGTGAAGATGGTTTTGCGCTGCTCTGCCCTATACCGGCCGGTGGACACTACCAAACACCTGATGACACTACGTAGATATAGGAACTGCGAGTTTGCGACCTATCTCGAGACTCTCGAGAGTGACTCGAAGTGGAACTCCACTGTGGAAGTGAGAAAATGGCGGAAGCAGGTACTGTTGTGTGAGTGAGACGGCCATGACAGCGGCGACGTGCCCTGGCGCCATCTGATTCAAACTTGACGGTAAAAGAGCCTCATACCAAATTACTAAAGTACTAAGCTATATAGGTATACTTACAGTAAAGTATAGTGAAGTATACGTGAGAAAAAATACAATTACTGAGGCGAGCAGACGAGGCAAATTTTGACACTTGTTTTCTTTTTATCTCTCTCGCACGTCGCACCTCTCTCTCAGCAAAGAAATCTCACTACCTATCAGCTAATCAGCTTCCGTATATAGAATTCAGAATTCAGAAGTATAAGCATACACAGCCAGCGGCGAAATTGCGAATGCTGCATTGCTGCGAGAGTGCTACCTGGAGCCGATGCAGAGGTTGCGCCCCCTCTAGCCAAAATCAGGCAAAATTTCTTGCATGTAAACAAACGGTTTAGAACATATGTATACATACGTACAGCTGCTTGTGATATTGTGATTGGCACTTGGCAAGCTAGAGAGAGAACGACGATCCTCTCCTGCTGTCTTATTCAGCCAATCACAAGCAGCTATACGTATGTATATATGTTCTAAACCGTTTGTTTACATGCAAGAAATTTTGCCTGATTTTGGCTAGAGGGGGCGCAACCTCTGTATCGGCTCGGAGTGAATAGGGATGCAAGACTACTGTCACACACACCTCAGGCTGTAACTACCAAATAACTGTTTTTTCAATTTCGATTTTTGGGAAAAATAAGTAAATAAGACCCTGCAATTGCATATACGGTATAGCATTATTTTTTTTTGGAGAGATTAGGTCGTGCCACGAAGGTGAAGTTCATATGTAAGTATCTACTAGTAAATTTTCTTAGAATTGTCGAAAATTTTATCAATAAAAAAGAATACCTAACATGTACTTAGTGTGGTATTATTCCAGCAATTGAATCTGTAATGTGATTCTACATATTATATACATATGTATTAATGTGTGCTAAAGGGTCGATCACATATTATACTACCTACACCACATTGGAGTACTTACAAGTAAGTTCTGTTAATCTAAATATTTGCTTTGTGTATAAAAATTTTCATTTTAAAAAAATTTTTTTTATTATTTATATTTTGAAGAGTAGTTCGATTTGCATACCTATTAAGTATTTATCCATTAGAACGATGTAAAATTTTTTTTTTTGTTTTCATTTGCAATTATGTTATGTTTCTTGTAAAGTTTTTGCGTGCACATGTTCAAGTACTGATGAAACATCAAGGAAACGTTTATCTTATCTCTTGTCGTGCATAAAAAGGGGGAGGAAGCTTCTTCTGATTCATCGATTATTCCTGTTAAAAAAAAAATAGATCGAGCGTACTATGTCCCCTTGCCCTCGGAAATGAGAATTAAAAAAAGGTTCATTAATGCTTGATGTACTTTGTGAGATGCAGCAAGTTAAATGTTGAGACTAGAATAAATGGTACGTATAATGATGTAATCATATTATTTTATTCTAGTGTGAATGTCATTGATGCGCACACTTGTAATATGTGTATCATAATCAAGTATATTATCAAATTTTTATATTAAATGGTAAGTAGAAACAATAATCAAACGTAAATTCCAGTGAATCAAAAGAAAACAAAAGATAATTTTCATTCGACCTTTATTAAAAATATATTTATGTATACACATTTAGTATAAAGAATGATTATTTTATTTATTTACTCCAGTATACGGCAGACCCCAATTAAAATGTTTAATACAATGGTTTACAAAATTATGATAATGTTTGAGAGACACACATTTTGCAGGATTTTCTTTAAGTAGAAAAAAATCATTCCAATTTCTATATTTAAAATTTATTCGCTTGTAAAGACTTTGAAAAGAAGAAAAAAATTTAGAGAGCGCATGTATTCATCTGTGACTAGATTTCGTTTGTTAGTACACACGTACATGTAAAAATTGTACATAAAATCACGCGATTTTTAAGAATCAAAATAAACAAAATAAAAATATGCACATATTTGCACAGTACACCACCTACACAATAATGAAGTTAATGTCATGGGGATACAATATTCGTCTTCAGCTTGGTCTGGTTCACCTTACAGCACACCCTTTGTTTTAATCCCGAGAAAGAAACGTATCAACAAGCTTATCGCAGGCGACTCTTCTTTTTATTCATACATAACGTACTTTGATAGATCTAATACTTTTTCGTATTAATAATATATATATATATATAAAATATATCTTTTNGCTTTATAGCCGCGCTAATGCCTATATATAAATATATCGAAAGCTCACAGTACGACCAAAAAAAGTAACCAAAGCCCTTGCACCAGATCAGCGCCCCAGAGTCGGTAGGGCCTGTTTCAAGGGTATCTTGCCTATGTGCTGAGCCATGTACGATCCGAGCCAGAGCTCGTTCCCAAAAACGTGGGCCGCGCTCAGTCCCGGCATGCGCCCGCTCGTATCGTACGCCGCGTCGGTAACTTTACCGTTCGCGTCCAACCTGAGCACCGCAGCGGTCTCCCCTACCATGAACCCATTGAAGAACCCGTTGACGGCCTGCACCATGGGCGCCGGATCGTAAGCCGGGTAGAGCATGTGGAAGTACTCGAAGGGCGCCCGGAGCACGTAGATCAGCCGGACGAGGCACTTACGGACGTAAAAGTGCCGGCCCAGCAGGGTGAGGTACGACCAGTTGACCGCGTCGGTGTACATGGGCAGAGCCACCAGGAAGCCCTCGCCACCGTCGGGGGTTATGTTGTCAGGGAAACCCGGCAGTGCCTCGGCGAACACCTCGTGCCGACCGGCTTTCGCCCCCTTCAAGTGATACTTGACGATGCGGGCGAGTTGACACTCGGCCACCAGCACGAAGCTCTCGTCTTTCGCCAGAGCGACCCCGTTGGCCACCCCCAGGTTGCGCACCAGCACCTCGTTGCGACCTGTCTCTGGGCTGTACCTTATCAACCTGAGACACATTTTTTTTTTTGTTTTTGTTGAATGTTACAGTTTTAGTATATACATATATAGAGACAAATATACCTGCCGCGCGGATTTAGCAGTACAATGGGCACGAAGGTGCCGTCGAACTCGAAACCAGCGCAGCTGTCGGACCAGTAGATGTCGCCGTTGCTCGCGATCGCGAGGTCGTTGGCGACCGCGCGTTTACCCTCGATGTTGCTGTTCCTCGTGTCGACGATCAGTTCGGCGTTTTTGGTGGTGAGATCTATCTTGAAGATACCGAAGAAGAGATCCGCCGCGTACAGGAAGCCTGCCTTGTCGAACTGCAGGCCGAGTGGTCTGCCGTTGCGGTATGTTTTTGTCTCTGGGTCTGTGATGATGGAAAAAAAACAAAACAAATGTATTTGATTTTGGGTCCATTGTTATACTGTGGGTTATAAATTGGGGGGGTGCTTGCCGTGCTCGCTGATTTTGAAGACGGTCTCGAGCTTCTTGTCCTTGGTTATCTTGACAATCTCGCCGGTTAGCAGGGAGGCGTAAACCTCGCCTTTGTGGAGGGCGAAAGCTTCGGGGCCGCGAACCCGGCCTTCGAACAGCTTTTCCACGCCGTCGAGTCTCTGGTTGATCCCTAAATTGCCGCTCAGTGCCTTTGGCTCGATGTACCTGTTGTAGTTGCGTGCGCGTAAAATTACCTTACTTATTGTAATTTATTGTCGTTTACCTATTTTTTTTTTTTTTTTTTTTTTTTTTTTTTTTTTTTTTTTTTTTTTTTTTTTTTTTTTTTTTTTTTTTTTTTTTTTTTTTTTTTT